ACTGAAAGGCTTCAAAATTCATGGAACAATATGTAGAATACATAGAAGAGTCTTGTATCAGTATGAAAAAAAGTTATCCTCAGTGGAGAGCCATTCTGGTACCACCTAACGAATAATAAAGACAAGACCTGAAAGGATCAAACTGTTTCCAATGAACTTAATTTGGCCTCCATATTTCAAGAATACAGAAATAGCTATTGTTAAACAAAGTAGAATTCACAATGTCTTTTATCCAATAAAAAAAATTACCAGGCAGGAAAAGGAGGAAAAAAGCAATCTACAATAAAGACACAAATCAACCAGTAAATCAAAACTGGTCCAGATATTAGAATTAACAGAAAAAGACATTATAAGATTAACTACATCTGTATTCCATATGTTCAGAGTAAGTAAAAACATGAAAGATATAAAGCAGACCGAACTATAAATTCTACAGTGTTAAACAAAGTAGAATTCACAATGTCTTTTATCCAATAAAAAAAATTACAGGCAGGAAAAAGGAAAAAAAGGAAAAAAAAAAAAGCATCTAAATAAAGACACAAATCAACCAGTAATCAAACCTTGGTCCCAGATATTAGAATTAAACATTATAAGATTAACTACATCTGTATTCCATATGTTCAGAGTAAGTAAAAACATGAAAGATATAAAGCAGACCAAACTATAAATTCTACAGTTGAAAACTTCAATGGCTAAGATGAAAAATACACAGGAATGGATTAACTGCAGATTAGACATTGTAGAAGAAAATATTAATGAATTTGAACACAGAAAAAACTATCCAAAATGATATACAGAGAGAAAAGAGATTTTATAAAAGTAGACAGAGATTCAGTGAACTATGGGAAATATTCAGGTGCTCAACATGTTGTAATTGGAATTTCTGAAAAGAGATAAGGAAAAAGCAAATTTGAAGAAGTAGTAGCCAAGAATAGAAATTTCCCCAAGTCTGATGAAACTTGTAGGTTTACAGATCCAACAAGCTTATCAAAACCCAGTCACAAAGAATTTGAAGTAAACCAATCCAAGGTACATCATAATCTAATTGCTTAAAATGAGGAAAAAGAAAGTATTAAAAGCAGCCAGTAGAAACAGGAGAGCTTGTTACACTCAGAGGAACAAAATAAGGATGATGCATGTAAAAATACAAATGATCCAGCAAGGGTTATTTATCAGCCAGAAAACAATGCGAGCAAGGCATCAGTGGAGCAACATCTTTGAAATATTGGAAGAAAAATCAAAACTTTCAACCTAGAATTCCATATCTTCCAAAATACCTTTTAAAAAACAAGGGTGAAATGAAGAATTTTTTTCAGACATACAAAAGCTGAACTAATTTATTACCAGCAGTCCACACTGCTAATTATGGTAAAAAGAGGCCCTTAGGCAGCAGGAAAGTGATGCCAGATAGAAATGTGGATTTCACAAATACAGTAGACCACCAGAAATGGTAGCATGTAAGATTTCCCTTGTTATTTAAATCACGTGAAGAGAACATTGGTTATTTTAAACAAAAATCATAACCATACATCATGTAGCTGCAGCAAACATATAAGTAACATATGGCAATAATAGGGCTGACGTAAAAATGGGAAAATAGAAGTACACTACTATAGGCTTCATGTACTAAACATGAAGTTGTTTAATACTACTCTACTACTTACAATAGACTGGATTAACTTAAAGAAGGTGGTTTGGTATACATATATACAGCACACATGTAATACAGATAACAACAATACACGATAAACACACACACACTAAAGCAACCAGTGAAATTAAAAGAAAAACAAAGAATAAAATCAAATAAGCCAAAATATATAAAAAAAGGAATTATAAATATTCAATTTATTCAAAAGAAGGAAGAAAATGAAGAAAAGGAAAACAATGGACTAATGGGACATATTAAATGAAATAGCAATATCATATCAATAATTAAATAAAATTTAAACAGGCTATGTACCTCAATAGAGGTATTGTTATATTTGATACAGAAACAAAGCTTCAAACTTATGGCTGCCTTAAAGAAACTAACTTAGCGATTCCAAGATGGCAGCTAGAGGAGGAAGCAGAAAGCGAGCTCCTATAGTGAAATCTTTGGAGAGACGCTGGAGACACACTTTGCAGGGCATAATCAACCGAGAAAAGGCCATAACTTTGACTCTCCACATCTCCAGCGGCGCAGAGAATCTCCCACTCAACGTTTAACGGAGAACGCAGGGGCCGCCCGGCCGCCAGTGGCCGGCGCCACAACGGCTTGGGAAGGACGCGGACCAGCTTACTGTCGATTAGTAACTAACACTTCCCGTTTATACCTTTGGAAAACTCTCTTCTGATACGCTTGTTCGCTTTCTCCCTCTTGGTTCTGTATAGTAGTTTTCCCCTTTCTTTAACTTCTTGCTTTCATCTCAAGATCATCTTCTCATTTCTAATATTACATTGGTTATTATTACAAGCTAGAAAATACTTAATTGCACACAGTACAGGACAGTAACAACACCAAGACAATGACGGGAAGACAGAAAAAACAGGGAAACCAGTTTCCCCACAGCAAAAAATTAGTACAGGAACCAGAGGGAATGAAGAGAAAGAAACTCAGATCCAGACTCCAACAAAATGAAGATAAACTATGCCAAAGGACCCAATGAAGCCCACAAGAATAATTTAAAAGAAGACATACTACAAGTACTCAATGAGAATTTTATAGAGATGATACTGGATAGGGTCAACCAAAATGTACAGGAGACACTCAAGAAATTCCAAGACAATAAAAATAGAGAATTTGAAAAGCAAAAGAAGAAATAAAGGAAACCATAGAAGCACTGTATAAACACCAAAGTGAAAGAGAGAACAAATGAATAAATGGATAAATGAACTCAGGACAAAAATAGACAACAAAAAGAGAAAACAGCCAGGATATGGAAAACCTCAGAAAAAAGAACGAAACAGAACTGCAAAACAAAACGGAAGGCCAATCCAGCAGAATAGAACAAACAGAAGACAGAATCTCAGAACTTGAAGATGAAATGGTAATTAAAGGAAAAACTGAAGAACTATTAATTAAACAACTCAAGACCTGTGAAAAGAAAATGCAAGAACTCACTGACTCCATCAAAAACCAAACTGAGAATCATGGGCATCGAAGAAGGAGAAGAGGTGCAAGCGAAGGGAATGCGTAATATATTCAACAAAATAATAACGGAAAATTTCCCAAATCTAGAGAAAGATATTCCCATACAATGCAAGAGGCCTCCAGGACACCAAACAGACCAGATCAAAATAGAACTACCCCACGACATATCATCATTAAAACAACAAGTTCAGAAACTAAGGAAAGAATATTGAAGGCTGTAAGAGAGAAAAAACAAGTAACATACAAAGGTAAACCCATCAAAATCACAGCAGACTTCTCAACAGAAACATTAAAAGCAAGAAGAGCGTGGGGTGAGATCTTCCGGGCACTGAATGAAAATAACTTCAACCCCAGGATACTCTACCCAGCAAAGCTATCATTCAAAATAGATGGAGCAATAAAAGTCTTCCATGATAAGCAGAAACTAAAACAATATGTGACCACAAAGCCACCATTACAAAAGATTCTGCAAGGGATCTGCACACAGAAAGTGACACCCAACTTAACCATGAAAAGGCAGGCAGCACCAAACCACAGGAAAAGAAAAAGCAAGACAGTAGAGAGTAACATCAAGTTAGGTACACACAATCAAACCTTCAAACAACTAAGACAACTAAATGGCAGGAATCACCACATACCTATCAGTACTAACACTTAATGTTAATGGACTTAATTCACCCATCAAAAGACACCGTTTGACAAAATGGATTAAAAAAGAAGATCCAACAATTTGTTGCTTACAGGAGACTCATTTCACCGACAGAAATAAGCATATGCTTAGGATGAAAGGCTGGAAGAAGATTTACCAAGCCAATGGCCCCCGAAAACAGGCAGGAGTAGCAATACTTATCTCTGACAAAGTAGACTTCAAACCTACATTGATCAAACGAGATAAAGAAGGACATTCCATACTAATAAAAGGGGAAATAGACCAAAAGGAAATAATAATCATCAATCTGTACACCCAATGTCACGCACCCAATTTCATCAAACATACCCTGAAAGACCTAAAAGCATATATAAACGCCAACACAGTGGTTGTGGGAGACTTTAACACCCCATTATCATCAATAGATAGGTCATCCAAACAAAAATCAATAAAGAAATCCAAGATCTAAAATATGCAATAGATCAAGTGGACCTAGTAGATGTCTACAGAACATTTCATCCAACCTACACAATATACATTCTTCTCAGCAGCCCATGGAACCTTCTCCAAAATAGATCATATCCTAGGGCACAAAGCAAGCCTCAGCAAATATAAGAAAATAGAAATAATACCGTGCATACTATCTGACCACAATGCAGTAAAAGTAGAACTCAACAACAAAAGTAAAGACAAAAAACATGCAAACAGCTGGAAACTAAATAACTCATTACTTAATGAAGAATGGATCATCGATGCTAAAAGAGGAAATTAAAAAGTTCCTGGAAGTCAATGAAAATGAAAACACAACCTACCGGAACCTATGGGACACAGCTAAGGCAGTCTGAGAGGAAAGTTTATAGCCATGAGTGCATATATTAAAAAGATTGAAAGATCCCAAATCAATGACCTAATGATACATCTCAAACTCCTAGAAAAAAGAACAAGCAAATCCCAAAACAAATAGAAGGAGAGAAATAATAAAAATAAGAGCTGAAATCAACGAAATAGAAACCAAAAAAACCATACAAAGAATTAATGAAACAAAAAGTTGGTTCTTTGAAAAAATAAACAAGATCGATAGACCCCTGGCAAACCTGACTAAAATGAGGAGAGAAAAAAACCCAAATTAGTAGAATCAGGAATGCAAAAGGGGAGATAACAACAAACACCATGGAAGTCCAGGAAATCATCAGAGACTACTTTGAGAACCTATATTCAAATAAATTTGAAAATCTAAAAAATGGACAGATGATCATCCAAAACTGAACCAAGAGGAATTAATCACCTGAATAGACCTATAACACAAAATGAAATTGAAGCAGCAAATCGAGTCCCAAAAGAAAAGTCCAGGACCTGATGGATTCTCTGCTGAATTCTATCAGACCTTTAAAGAAGAACTGATACCAACCCTCCTTAAACTGTTCCATGAAATAGAAAGGGAAGGAAAACTGCCAAACACATTTTATGAAGCCAGTATTACACTTATCCCAAAACCAGGCAAAGACACCTCCAAAAAGGAGAACTATAGGCCAATCTCCTTAATGAACATTGATGCAAAAATCCTCAACAAAATAATGGCAAACGAATTCAGCAACACATCAAAAAGATTATTCACCACGACCAAGTAGGCTTCATCCCAGGGATGCAGGGGTGGTTCAACATACGAAAATCAATAAACGTAATAAACCACATTAACAGAAGCAAAGACAAAAACCACTTGATCATCTCAATAGATGCAGAAAAAGCCTTTGATAAGATCCAACACATTTCATGATAAAAGCTCTAAGAAAACTAGGAATAGAAGGAAAGTTCACAATTATAAAAGCTATATATGACAAACCTACAGCCAGCATTATACTTAACGGAGAAAAATTAAACCATTCCCTCTAAAATCAGGAACCAGACAAGGATGCCCACTATCTCCACTCCTATTCAACATAGTACTGGAATTCCTAGCCAGAGCAATTAGGCAAGAAGAAGGAATAAAAGGAATACAAATAGGTAAAGAAACTGTCAAAATATCCCTATTTGCAGACGACATGATCCTATACCTTAAAGACCCAAAAAACTCTACTCAGAAGCTTCTAGACATCATCAATAGCTATAGCAAGGTAGCAGGATATAAAATCAACATAGAAAAATCATTAGCATTTCTATACACTAACAATGAGCAAACGAAAAAGAATGTATGAAAACAATTCCATTTACAATAGCCTCAAAAAAAATCAAATACCTAGGTGTAAACCTAACAAAATGTGAAAGACCTCTACAAGGAAAACTATACACTTCTGAAGAAAGAGATTGAGGAAGACTATAGAAAGTGGAGAGATCTCCCATGCTCATGGATTGGTAGAATCAACATAGTAAAAATGTCGATACTCCCAAAGTAATCTACATGTTTAATGCAATTCCCATCAAAATTCCAATGACATTCATTAAAGAGATTGAAAAATCTACTGAAATTTATATGGAAACACAAGAGGCCACGAATAGCCAAGGCAATACTCAGTCAAAAGAACAATGCAGGAGGTATCACAATACCTGACTTCAAACTATATTACAAAGCAATAACAATAAAAACAGCATGGTACTGGCACAAAAACAGACATGAAGACCAGTGGAACAGAATAGAGGACCAGATATGAAGCCACACAACTATAACAACTTATCTTTGACAAAGGAGCTAAAAATATACGATGGAGAAATAGCAGCCTCTTCAACAAAAACTGCTGGGAAAACTGGTTAGCAGTCTGCAAAAAACTGAAACTAGATCCATGTATATCACCCTATACCAAGATTAACTCAAAATGGATCAAGGATCTTAATATCAGACCCCAAACTCTAAGTTGATACAAGAAAGAGTAGGAAATACTCTGGAGTTAGTAGGTATAGGTAAGAACTTTCTCAATGAAACCCCAGCAGCACAGCAACTAAGAGATAGCATAGATAAATGGGACCTCATAAAACTAAAAAGCTTCTGTTCATCAAAAGAAATGGTCTCTAAACTGAAGAGAACACCCACAGAGTGGGAGAAAATATTTGCCAACTATACATCAGACAAAGGACTGATAACCAGAATATATAGGGAACTTAAAAAACTAAATTCTCCCAAAACTAATGAACCAATAAAGAAATGGGCAAGTGAACTAAACAGAACTTTCTCAAAAGAAGAAAGAAATGGTCTCTATAACTGAAGAGAACACACAGAGTGGAGAAAATATTTGCCATTACATAGACAAAGGACTGAATAACCAGAATATATAGGGAACTTAAAAACTTTTTCCTATAAAAATGACGAATAAAGAATGGGACGTGAACTAAACAGAACTTTCTAAAAGAAAAATTCAAATTGGCCAGAAAACCTGAAAAAATGCTACATCTCTAGCATAAAGAATGCAAATTAACCGAACTAAGATTCCACCTCACCTGTTGAATAAGCATCATCAGCAAACACACACACAACAGGTTGTTGGCGAGGATAGGCGGGGAAAAAGGAACCCTCTTACACTGTTGGTGGGATGTAGACTAAGTACACACATCTGGAAGAATTGGAGGCTATTAAAAAGCCTGGAAATCGATCTAACCATTGATCCAGCAATACACCTTGGGGATTACCAAAGACTGTTCTCAAGGCAACACTGCAATCCATGTTTATTGGGGATAATTCACAATAGCCAAGTTATGGAAGCAAGATGCTCCAGCATGACGAATGATTAAGAAATGTGGTATCTATAAAATGGAATTTTATGCAGCATGAAGGAAGACAGAAATGTTATCATTTCGCTGGTAAATGGATGGAATTGGAGAACATCATTCTGAGTGAGGTTAGCCTGGCAAAAGACCAAAAATCGTATGTTCTCCCTCATATGTGGACATTAGATCAAGGGCAAACACAACAAGGGGTTGGACTTGAGCACATGATAAAAGCGAAGCACACAAGGAGGGGTGAGGATAGGTCAACACCTAAAAACTAGCTAGCCATTTGTTGCCTTAATGCAGAGAAACTAAAGCAGATACCGTAAAGCAACTGAGGCCAATAGGAAAAGGGGACCAGGAACTAGAGAAAAGGTTAGATCAAAAAGAATTAACTAGAAGGTAACACCACACAAGGAAATCAATGTGAGTCAACTCCCTGTATAGCTATCCTTATCTCAACCAGCAAAAACCCTTGTTCTTCTATTATTGCTGATATTCTCTCTACAACAAAATTAGAGATAAGGGCAAAATAGTTTCTGGCTGGGTATTGAGGGGGGAGAGGGGAGGGGCGGAGTGGGTGGTAAGGGAGGGGGTGGGGGCAAGGGGGAGAAATGAACCAAGCCTTGTATGCACATATGAATAATAAAAGAAAAAGAAAAAAAAAAAAGAGAAATGCCAAGTAAGGAAAAAAAAAAAAAAAAGAAACTAAACAAGCAGCTATAAAATGATTAGAACTGGGGATTTCAATACCCCTCTGTCAATTAATGAAAGAATAAGCAGATGGTCAATCTGTAAGAATATAAAAGATTTGACAATCAATATTACTGAATTTCACTTAGTATTTATAGAACACTTTAAGAACAGTAGAATATGTGTTTATTTTTCAAGCGCATATAAAATATTTACTTAAATAGATTATATTCTGGGCCATAAAATGAGCCTAAATAAATTTTAAAGAATTCTAAATCATTCAAAAATATATTCTCAAATGACACTGGAATGAAATAAGAAGTAAAAATCACAAGATATTCTGGATAATCATTAAGTAATTAGAAAGTAAGCAACACACTTCTGAAGTGACCCAATGAGTGAAAGAAATAAAAAGAATAAGAACTGATAATTAAAACACAGTATATAAAAATGTATAGGATGCTACTAAATGAATTTTTAGAAAAAAATTTATTGCACTAGACACCTAAATTAGAACACTAGGCAAGTTTCAAATCAATAACCTCAGCTTCTACCTTAAGAGCAATGGAAAAGTACAAATTCAAAGTTAGTAATAGATATAATAGATATCCAAACAGAAATTAATGAAGCAGAAAGCAGGGAAAATGGACAAAAGTCATGAATGGAAAGCTAGATTTTTTTTTAGAAGATGAATAAGAGTGATAAATCTTTGGCTGTGTTGATTAATAAGAGAGAGAAGACAAATTATGTATGAATGTGAAGAGTGAGAGTGGGGCCATCATTACAGATTAACAGTTTAATATAAATATTGTGAACAATTTAATCTCAATAAATTCTACAATTTAGTTGAAGTAAACAAATTTATTTCAAACAAAAACTTCCAAAATTCACTGAAGAAAGATTGATACCTTGTTCGATATCTACCACAAAAATTTCACTTTTTAGTTCACAAAGAAAACTCCAGGGCCAGATGGTTTGACTAGTGAATTCTGTCAAATACTTAAGGAAGAGACAATGCCAACAAACACTTCCAGGAAATTTGAAAGGATGAAATACTTCCTAATTCACTGTATGAAGTCAGCGTTACCCTGATACTCAAAACAAAGACTTCACAAGAAAAGAAGTCTACAGGTCAATATGCCTCATGAACATAGATGTAAAAATTTTAAAGAAAATACTAGCAAATGGAATCCAAATTTTTTTTTTTGGTAGTACTGGGGTTTGATTCAGAGCCTCGCACTTGCTACACAGGCACTCTACCACTTGAGCTGCTCTGCTAGCCCTCCCACACTAGCTTTGAAGATGGAAGGAGCCCACAAACTAAGGAAAACTCTCTGGAGGAGAAGAAGACATGGGGGCTGGGAGTTAGCTCAGTGTTACAGTCTTGTCTAGCATTCATAAGGCCCTGAGTTCAATTTCCGGAAGGAAGGAAGGAAGGAAGAGAGAGAGGGAGGAAGGAAGAAAGAAAGAAAATAAACCCAATTTAAAGACAAATGTTTATTTTTTATATCAATCACATACAAAATTGAGGAGCTGGGGTTTAGCTCAGAGGAAGAACTCTTACTGGCATACACAGGCCCTGGTTGCATCCTGAGCATCACAAAAACAAAACAAAACAAAATTTGATTTAAGCACAAATATCCTAAATGTTATCCTAAAATTTATATGACAAAATATTTTTAGCTAAGAAATTAACTTTAGAACTCCAGCAAAATACAGTTATTATAGACTGAAAAATGAGTTTATAATATTAAACAAAATATATTTCAATATAGTCTTACCAGGTGCTGATTGAACCATTTAGATACAGGACAATTCTGTGTGCTTTCAGAATACGAGTCACTTAAACTATAAAAACCTGAAGGCTATAAAAAATTAGGCAAAAAGTGTTAAAGTAACTTTTTTATATTCTAAAGTTTGAAAGTGAATTTTTATAACCCAGTGCAATTAGACAGCTGAAGTTAATCAGAATCTAAACATTATTCCAGACTTTCTAGCATGATATCTGCTAAGGAGATAGATCAAGTTCGGCTAAACTCTGGCCTTATTGAACTTCCACTCTGGGGCCACTTGTCACAGTGAGAATCCCCAGTAACCCTAGGGTGAGCTGAAGTCCACAGTGGCCCTGGAGGCTCGCCTCTGTGTGCGTGCACCTCCATGATGGCTTCAGGCTTATTGTGTGTCATAATGGTAGCTGTAATCCCGTTTGGTGGGATTACACACACACACCTTGAAACAGGGAGTATACATGTTAATTACTTTTATTATTAATTACACAAATAAGTATTTATCAACTGCCTATTTACATGGCCAGCACTGTGCTAGGCACCAAAGATTCAAGAAAATAGGACAAGAAGAATTACCTGTTCTAGAATAGAATGAAGTAGAAAAGCAAAGCGCAGAGGTTACTGACTGATTTGATAAGAATAAAGCAGGATAAAAAATCTAAAAAGATGTGGACCTTTGTGACAACATTAGAGAGGGGAATCAGGGGACACTCCTCTGCATTAATACAGTGCGAGCTCAGAACCGATGATGAAACAAAATGGCTTTGTGGACAGCAGAGGTGATAGAGAGCAACAAAACTCTCAAGTTTATTCTAAGGGTGAATGAGCAGAAGCAAAGAGGAATGAGAAAGGCAAGTGGCCAGTAAGAAACCTGAGTGAACAGGTTGGTGGAGTGGCTCAAGTGGTAGAGCATTTGCCAAGAAAGTGTGAGGTCCTGGGTTCAAACTCCAGTATTGCCCCCTCCAAATTTTTTTTGAATGGCACAAAGAAGAATGTTAATGAAATTGATGATATCCATGTGTGATTTTACTTTACCCTGGATGTCAGGTGAGGAAAATAAAGCAACACTCCTTGAACTTGGAGCTGTGGAACCTTTAACCAAACTGCTCACCCATGAAGACAAAATTGTAAGAAGAAATGCTACCATGATATTTGGTATCCTGGCTTCTAATAGTAAGTACCAACTTTTAAAAATAATTTCTTAGGATGCCTTATCCTTTTAAATTTAACATGAAGGGATTTGCTTAAATTTTATCTATGCTGACCTTAATGTAACAAAGTTAAAGCAGTACAATGCAACTAATATATGGCTTCATAATTTAAAAGATATTTTTAAATATAAAAATATGTGCAGGGCTCGTAGAATGGCTTAAGTGGTAGAACGCCTGGTTAGCAAGTATGAGGTCCTGAGTTCAAACCCAGTACCACTAAAGAATAAAGAACATAAAAAAATATGAAAATTCCTCTGAAAGTTGGTGATGTAATATATTTCAGTTTAACAAGTTGGAAGAGTAATCATTACCTCTTAAAGTTAAATTTTTATGCAGGCATGGTGGTGCACACCTATAATCCCAGAACACAGGAGGCTGAGGCAGGAGGATCATGAGCTCAAGATCAGCCTGGTGTAAATAGCAAGACCCTATCTAAACAAATTTCTCTTAACTTAGTGCAATATAATTTGCCTGCCTACAAAATAGTTTCTGCTGGGTATTGAGGGGGTGTGGGGGAGAGGGAGAGGGCGGAGTGGGTGGTAAGGGAGGGGGTGGGGGCAGGGGGGAGAAATGACCCAAGCCTTGTATGCACATATGAATAATAAAAGAAAAAATAATAATAATAATTTGCCTGCCTATATGTAAGTTAAAACACACACACACACACACACACACACACACAGAGTAGATGAAGCCCTGAGAAGAGTTTTGATAAATTAATATTTTTTTGAAACTCCTTAAATCATATCTATTACTCACTTGGAGTATTCTCATACATTTGACATTGTGGCTTGGTAATATTAGTTAAAATATGCTATTATGTCTACTAGAATATCAGTTTCGCCAAAACCATGCCGATAAAGGTAGCTTGTGACTTGTGAACAGGATACATTTTTTCCATGTGTAAGTCATTTTCTGAGTCATAAGGGTAGTTTTGGAGCCACCCATCAAAGCCTTGTAACTTACAAAAAGTTTAAATGGTACTCTCAGTGGAAATTCAATTCCACCATGAAACTCAGGCTGCTAGGAATAAACGTGTCTCTCTGTCTTGGTGCACAGTTAGAGTCATCATACTCTCGACCGTAGTCTCAGCAAAACACAAGGGTGAATTCTTTCTCCTGCCTATTCCCCCTACCTCACATTTTCCTGGATGCTATGTGATGACACATTTTCTAATTTCATGTGTAGTTCTCAGTGACTGTTTTCCTGCTTGTGTTTGTTCTTAAGTTTCTAGTACTCATTTAATTATTTATTGGTCATTTTCCAATATATAAGATGTTTATAACCTATGACGTTCTTCAAATTGTTTGCTTTTTTTTTTTTTTTTGTGGTACCGGGGCTTGAACTCAGGGCTTATAAGTCACTTCACCAGCCCTATTTTTGTGATGGGTTTTTTTTTGAGATAGGGTCTTGCAAACTATTTGCCAGGACTGGCTTTGAACCATGGTCCTCCTAATGTCTGCCTCCTGAGTAGCTAGGATCAGAGGTGTGAGCCACCAGTGCCTGGCTGTTTGCAATTTTTTTGAGGATATGTAATTTGAGTTTCATGAATTTCTAAACTATTAAGAATTACTTGTACATTTGGGTGCTAAGTGAGGTGCTCTCTGGGACTGCTTTGTAACTGGCTGGCTAATCAGTGCCAGGAGGAGGCACCACACTGCTACCTGCAAAGCTGAACCAGCAGGGAGAGCTCTGCTGGCTTTGACTCCAGTGAGTGCTTGGCTTTCTGGTATGAGCAATGAAGATTGATGAAGACATATCTGGTATGAGGAACAATGATGGTATAATGAAAAACTTTTGTTTGATTCCATGAATTGAATGCAAACATCAAACCATTATTTGAATTAACTTGACTGCTTTCCACTGAAGTATCTGATGATGTGGATAAACACGTGGCAGTTCTCAGCTTGTGAAGAGCTTTTCTTCTTGATAGAATCAACACGTTAACAGTTATCACTTCATTTTTCATACATGCGGGTAAAAACTTGCAACAGAAAATGAGCAACTAGTCATTCAATCCAAATGAAAAGTCATGTTTCCAAACTAAGATGTAAGTGAATGTGCCTCTACAGCTGTGTGATTAAATTGTCATTGTTGAGAAGCCTAAAAATAAGTAATACTTCTTCAGAAATTTGTAAATTCACGTGGTTTTCATGTATTCGGTAATCTACTTTGTTCATGGTGGTTGAATCCGATGTGGCTGAATCAACAGAATTCCAGGTGCTAAAAGTATTCCTTGAGAACCATCTTTCCCTTTTGCAATTGCAAACACTCTTCTTTTTCTTCCTCCTCCTTCCTCTTCTCTTCCCAACCCACAAATGATTGAGCTATGTGCCTGTGTCAAGCTGAGGTCATGGAAGACATGCATTTAAATTACTTTGTGAAACCGTGTTTTCTTTATGAAAATGGAGCCACTATCTTCTTTCACCTGCCAGCTTGTATTTAATTGAATGAGGCCGCACAACAGAGACTCACTGAATGAAGTCAGCTAAATCAGTTTTATCAGAATTCATGCAAGAAGTATCCTTGGAAGTCCAGACTTTACATTACTCAAAGCAACTGAAGAGTTTGCCATCTTAGGAAGATGATGTAAAAGGCCAATGATGGTCAATATTATGAAATCAAAAGTATGAATAAGAATGCAATTAAAACAGATTGCAGATACTTCAGGAAGTAAAATGCTGACAGTTCTGAATCACCCTGAAATTGTAGGTGGCACCCTATTTAGCAAGAGTTTGTTCACATGGTCCAACGACTGAGTTTCTATTCAGTTATGAGTGTTCTCTGTTGAAAAGGAAAGGGACAGAGATCAATACTGTGTTTACAGTGATGGGAACAGCAGCTTTCCCATTATTTTTGCTGATCTGTCTGTAAGAAAGGAAAGATTGAACGATCTGCTGTTGAAAAGCTGAATAACAAAATCAATCAACTGGGTCACCTGTTTACCAAGCTGGACTCATCCAGTGGGCTTTAAGGAAGTGGTTCAGAGGATACGTTTGCTAGAGCTGTTCTTCACACCCCTTACCATTCCAGCAAACTTCTGGTCTAGAAGAGAATTTCATGTACAGAAACCCTCTGAGGACAATGTTAGTATGATGCCACCAGAGACCACAAAAGACATGCAGCAGTGTGGCCTCTCCCTGTGGGGCCGATCACACAGAGGAACAGGACAGACAGAGTGCACAGAACACGAATATTCTCAACCTCATGGGCAGTGAAGCAGCAGGAAATTTTTGAAGTACATGTGAGTTTTGTATAGCACATGGGAGTGTAGCTGGAGATGTAAAAGCATGTGAACATGGGAGACTTGGGTTGACTTTCACAAAAGTGGTCCTGAGCAATGGACTCTGAGAACATCACCCGCTTGGCCCAGTTCACCAAAACCCATGCAAAGATCTGAGTATTATGCTGAAGCTGTTATTTCTCGATCAGTGAAGGGATTGTATTTAAAAAAAAATTGAGTGACCATAAAATGACATCTGCCATGAAGGGACACTACACTTTGCAGAAGTACGATTATTCTTTTATATTTCAAATTTATTCACTTACAAGTAACTAGCCATGATATTTTGCTTGACCTAAAAGAGGGTTGAACAGAAACAGAGAAAGCAGTTTTGACATGTTGAAGAAAAGTGATGGCCCTGAATTCCTCAGGAAAAGGTGTCCAGTAAAAGCCAAACATATTCAGCAATTTATGAGAAAGAATTCCTGAGACCATTGCTTCCACTAGTACAAAATGAACTTTTCCAAAATTCCAAAAATGCTAATTTTGGCTTATAGATGAAAGTAACAGACCAAGAAGAGAAATTGCAAAACTAAAGAAGCAGAGATGCCTTATTTCTCCAAATATCAGGGTTAAGGATAGCAAGAAAGAAGTATGGACATACCTGTCTAGCTTTAATTAGGCTAATGTAAATCATAGAAAAGTGAACTTTAAACACACAATATACTTAAGCATTGTGACATTTTTATAATTAAATGGAATGTAAGCATTCTGTCAAAGTTTTATTAAAATCAAAATTTTTAAATACCCTTTCACTAAACAAATAATTACTATTACACAATAAACAAGTGTAGGGAACAGGAACTCAACTTTACTGATATGTTTCTGTATTATTTTTCTCATCACTGTGACAAAATACCTGGCAGAAACAACTTAAGGGAGGCAAGATTTATTTGGCTCATGATTTTACAGAGTTCAGCTGTGGTTTCTTGGCCCCACGTATAGAATATCACGGTGGAACGAGCATGTGGCAGAAGAGGTTCTTTACCTCCAAGCAGACAGGAAGTAGAGTCACACAGGAAGGGATCAGGGTAAGATGTGCCCTTCAAAGTCATGCCCCGGTGACCCTCTTCTTCTAGCTTGGTCCTACCTCCCAAAGTTTCTGCCACCTCCTAAAATAACACCCCCACCCCCTGTTGAGAACCAAGTGTTTAACACATGGCCATATGGTGGACATTTCATATTCAAGCCATTACTATGTTCTAGGCACATTTTGCACTTTCATGGTGTAATTTTTAGTGTTTGGTGCAGTGATTAAAGAGCAGAGGCTAGAGTCTGTATGAGGTCAAACTAACCTGGGCTTGACACCTGGTCCTACCACTTACTTGCTGGGTGATTTTTAGCCCTCAATTTCTCAATCTTTTAAAGGACTGTGTCAATCAAGAGTGCCATTACTATTCTTAATAAACATCTTTGCTCTGTGTCTTCCTTTGTAGGTGATGTTAAAAAATTATTAAGGGAGTTAGATGTCATGAATTCTGTTATTGCCCAGCTGGCTCCAGAAGGTAACTTTGCATCCTACATCTATTTCAAAAAAGGAAGTGATTTCTTTTTACATTTCATTAAACTACCTATTGACAATAGTTGATGAACCATCAATTGTGAATGGTCAATAAAATCTTGGGAACCACAGCTCAATTTTTACTTTAGACAAAAGTTGAGCTATAACCAAGATTTGGGGAGCTTTGGTTTTCAAAGCATATTTCAAAGTAGGGATTGAGTAAACACTTAGTATACTTGTGCTCTTTATTTTTTCTATACAGAAGAAGTAGTTATCCACGAGTTTGCTAGTCTTTGTCTAGCAAACATATCTGTAGAGTATACAGGGAAGGTACAAATATTTGAACATGGTGGACTGGAACCACTCACCCGACTGCTGAGTAGCCCAGACCCTGATGTGAAGAAGAATTCTATCGAATGCATTTACAACTTGGTACAGGTGAGATTCTCTTCTAAAAGATACAGCTCAGAAGTAGAGTACCTGCCTAGCATGCTTGAGGCCCTGGGCTTGATCCCCAACACTGTAAGAAAGAAAAAAAAAAATCTTGATAAAAGCTGATCATAGAATCCATTTTCCCATTTAAAAAAAAGTTTTCAAAAAACTCACCAGTTTTGCATCATCAGTTCTTCTTAGTATTTTATCCCTCAGAAAAAAAAAAGCCAGTGGAAGTTTCATGTACTTTCCAATTTTCATATTTTAAAAGTGTCTCCCATGAAGGTATATTCTAGAAATATATTTTGATTTGAAAAGAATAGGATCTCATGGAAATTAAGATGAGATTAACCTAGATAAAGAATGCTTCTTCTAAAACAGGAAATCCAAGGTTTAAGGCAAACCTGGGAAGTGACTTGTTTCTCTAGCCCTCATGGGTTAAGCACATTGATTGTAATACATGCCCTGCTCAATGTATCAAGATTTTGGATTAGACTTACTTATTTGCGAGAACCTAGTGATCTGAGAATGCTAAACAGAATGCATTAGTCACAATAGCAAGATGCTACTCAGTGGGCTGTTTTCCTCCCTCACTGTCCTGTCCTCTGTACTTTCTCCTCCCCCACCCCTCCCACACCCACATCCTCACACAGGTCAGTTTCCTAATACTTTAGCAGCCTTCTGAACTGTGTTTCCTGTTCGGGATCCTTAAAAATGATCACATACATTTAATAAGCTGAAAACACCATATTTAATAGGTATCAATAAAGCATGAAAGAGGTGTTGAATAAGAGTGAGGGAGAGGAAAAGGGTTGCGAGGCCAAGTATCCAGGCAGAGACATAAACCGCAGACTCAAAAACTCCTTTCCTGTATCAGTTAAGAATTTTTGCTGCTGTAAAAATCTTAACAGAACAATTTAAGGGAGCAAAGACTTATTTTGACTCAGGTTTCAGAGATGTCAGTCTATCATGGCAGGAAGGGCATGGCAGAGCCATGGTGGCCAGGAAGCAGAGAGAGAGAGAGAAAGAGAGAGAGAGAGAGAGAGAGAATGAGAGGGAGAGAGAGAGAGAACACTTTTGTTCAGAGCTTTCTTCATTTCCCTTTTATTTCATCCAGGGCTATGAGGTCTTCCCCATTAGTTAATCTTCTTGGGAAATACTCTCACAGAAACATGCAGAGGCCTGCTTTACTGATCTCCTAGGTGCTTCTCAATCCAATCAACTTGACAGTCAAGATTAGCCAACACATGACCTGGCATGTCCTTGCAAATTGGCCCACTGCTCCTGCTAAAAGAGCTATTCTAAGAGGAGACTCAGCTTCCTTTGTCGTCTCTGGCTACTTAGTGTTTACCTCACCCAGTAGCCTCAGACATCCCTGATTATGCTTTTAATCTCAAGACTCCTTTAGTTTCGTTTCCCTATATTTTTTTAATCAAGCAGAAATGAAAAGCATTACTTCCACAATTCTTAATACCAGAACTACTAGCAAATAACAATGTATTAGGGCTTCTTCTGTAGCAAAGTAACACCAACTGGATGCCTTAAAACAACAGAAAGTCACAGCTCTGACGCTAGAAGTTCACTCTCAAGGTGTTAGCAAGTTCACACTCCTTCTGAGACTGAGGAGAATCCTTCTTGGCCTTTTCCTGGCTTCTGGTGGTGGCCGTCAGTCCTTGGAATTCTTCGGCTTGCAGCTTTGTCCCTCCAGTCTTCCCCTTTGTCATCTCTCTTCTCTTCTAAGGACACCAGTCTTACAAGGATGCCATTAAGGGCCCAGCCTAACCAGGATGACATCCTGTTTCTTAATTACATCTGTAATGACTATTTCCAGATAAGGTTACATTCTAGGGGTGGGGGGATAAAATTCAAACCATAACAAAGAGTCACCTCTGAAGAAAGATGAACGTTCAAAGTCAGTGGAAGATGAATAGGGAAAAGCTGAGCTGTAAGTGAGACCTTTTCTACCTTTAGCACTATTTTATATTTACCATATTTTGATGAAAATGTCATGATTTAGTACTCAGAGTTGATGGATTTTCATGGCTTTCTGTCATGTTTTTCCTACTGCTCACCACCACCATCTCCCTTCCCCACTCTCACACATAACTATTTGTTTATACACAAAACAACTTGTCTAAACTATAGTGAGTCCTTGATATCATAAATGTCTTAAACAAAGCTCACACATCTGCTGAACAGTTCCACACACGGGGCCGGTCCACCACACTGTACGAATATACATATTTTACAAATGAGCCATTTGAAAATGATAAGGAATTAATGCTTATCATTAATAGAATTAATAGAAGTTTACTGAATAAGCAGTAAATACTGTGAAAGTCATAGGTCATGTTTATGTCTTCTTGTTGACAATGCCTGCAAAGTTCAAATGAATATTCTGGTATTGGCAATTGAAAATATTCCTATTTTTATGAGAAATTACTGATATAATTGCTTGCATTTCATGGCAGGATTTTCAGTGTCGAGCTACACTTCAAGAACTAAATCCGATCCCTCCTATGTTAGAGCTCTTGAAGTCAGAATATCCAATTATTCAGTTGTTGGCGCTCAAAACCTTGGGTGTCATCACAAATGATAAGGAGCCCAGGGTGATGCTGAGGGACAATCAAGGGCTGGACCACCTCCTCAAGATCCTGGAAGCTAAGGTATTTAGTCTCTGCGGGGAAGCATGTCTGTCACACAGGCTGGTATCAAATACAAGTAATTTTTAAATGAAATTAGATTTAAGCATGGTGCAAAGAATAATGGAGTAATTCATTTATTGCTATATAAAGTTTATTATCCTAATCGAATCAGATTCATTTTAGAGACCATTTTAAATTGATTTTAAAAAATCTGCTGGCTTAGATTTAAGATTTCCTGAAATGCCTAGATTAGTCATTTAACTGCTCTCCACCATGATTTTGTCTGGGAGAAGACAAGAGTGTTTACCTGCTAGGGCATTTTGAGAAACACTGGAGCTGAGTTACCATAGTTCCTTAGCAGCAAATTTCATACTTTAAGAACCTGTATGCCTTCTTGTATCTCCAGTTACAAAACCAATCTAGCAGTTTGCTGGGTACCATTTAATTATCCTGAAGTAATTCACATAGCTTCTCAAAGTGTCTACTGCCTCAAGTCCAGAGTGAAATGGTAATATGTAGAGTTCTGACTCACTGCTCCATTTAAATAGCTTATTAAATTAGATTAACTCTGGGCCAGGTGTGGTGTCTCACGCTACTCACAAGGTAGACCAGACAAAAAAAGTTAGTAAGATTTTATCTCCACAAACAAACTGGGCACAGTGGAGCACATCCATAATCCCAGCAATGCAGGAGATGTAAAGTATAAGATTGCAGTCCAAGCCTATCCCTGGGTTAAAAAGCTCAGGACCCTATCTGAAAAATAGCTAAAGCCAAAAAGGACTGTAAGTATGACTCAAATGGAAGAGCTTGTGCCTGGAAAGTCAAGACCCTGAGTCCAAACCCCAGTACTGAAGAAAAATATAAAAGAGTGCAGCTCTTAGTGCCTCTTAGAAATTCAAGCCATAGTACGGAGTAAAGGAGATTAAAGGTTCCCTGAGTAACAACCAATTGTTAACTTTCACACTAAACAACCATTCCATTTTCTCCACTATGCTAAACCTCAACGATTAATACAGAACTGGAAAAATAAAAGTACAAAAGTAAAGAGCAGTCCCAGCACAAATGTGTCGCCAGCCTTGTGAAGCTCCAGCCACACTCCCCAGTGGCAGGCTCTGTGTTAGTCATTCTCCACTGTGATGTAGAATTCTGGTAACACTGTTGACGTACTATTTTATCCTGTTTCTTTAAATGGAAGCTGAAACCCAGAGAGGTTGTTTAGTCTGCTTCATGTCACACAGGTGGAAGGTGGTCAACCACAGTATGAACCTAGGTTTGTCTGACATATCACAAAATGATCAAAAACCATATGGAAACATTCACCATGTGGCTGAGGTGTTTTGCATATGTGATTTTATTAACCTCTTAATTCTTCCAAGAATGTAATAATGTTTTCTATAAAATAAGAATGATATTAATTGTATATTATAAAAATTTACATTCTTCCTAACATCATTATGTCATTAATCCCACTTTATAGATGAGAAAAATGAGACTGACAGATTAAATAACTTTTCTGCAAGTTACAGAGCTAGGAACTATGTAAGAAAGGTATTTTTCAGAATACATATATCTTAGTTGGAAAAAGTCAAATAATGCCAAAATATGTATAGAGTGAAATGTAGAGGTGCTTCTCTCCATCCTCATCCATGATGATGTCCAAAGCACAGAGGTTCACTCTCATCACTACCATTCACCATTGTCTGTTGTCCTCACCAGGACAACACAAAGAAAGCAGAAGACTAACAGGCTGAGCATGGTGATAGATGCCTGTAATTCCAGCAATCAGGAGGCAGAAGGATCAAGGGATGGAGACTAGCTTGGGCTACATAGCAAGACCCTTTTTCAAATAAATAAATAAATAAATAAATAGATAGATAGATGGATAATAAAGTAGAAAAGAAATAAAATTATTTGTACACATGACTGTGCACATAAAAATCCAGAGACTTGCAGAAGTGTACTAGAACTAATAAATAAATCTATGAAAGTCACAGGATAAAAGTTTAATACAGAAAAATGGATTATATTTCTGTATACTGGCAAGGAACAACTGAAAAGCAAAATAAATACAATTCAACTTACAGCACAATCCTAAAGCATGAATTTCAAGAGGTTAAATTTAACAAAATTTATGCAAAACCTATTTTCCCAAAATACAAAATAGCTTTAAAGAAGATTTAAACATGGTAGAGACATAAAATGCCTGTGGGCTGAACACACAATATTAGATGTCATTTTCTACCAAATTGCTTATTGAGCTAGAGTTTTCAGTCAATTTTCACGTAATGATTTGCTGATTTGGTTGGTACATAGGTAGCATTTGTTCCTTGTTTTCCATTTGCCTGGCCTACTGTTTTATTCTACTGCGTGTGCCCTGTCAATTTAATTGTTTTAATATCCCATTTAATTTCCCTGTGTGCTTCCTTGCTGGATCTCTTCACCCTTAGCAATTGCTCTAGTGATTAAAATACGCAACTTAAACTTTCGTAGTCTACTCAGAGCTTATAGTGAATTACTTCAAGTGAAATATTGGAACCTTGTAGTGACTCTTTTCCAGTTCTAAATACTATTATTGTATATTTTATAACTATGTTGATTATAAACCAAACAATACAATGCAATAATTTTTGTTTTAAACATTTTGATATAGTATGTCTTTTGAAGGAATCAAGAGAGGAAATTATATATCCATGTGTGTAATATCTGTTCATTCGTTGGCTATTTGGCTTTTTATATCTGCTCACATATTTGCTGTATTCAGTGTTTTTCATTCCTGCCTGTGGTCTCAGTCATTAATTAAGTCATTTCACTTGACCCCAACAACTTCACCTAGCATTTCTTATAGTATAGGGAGCTGGCATAAATCATCTCAGTCTTTACATTTATCCCCAAATGTCTTCCTTTTGCCTTCAGTTGGAAAATTCCTAGTTAATATATATTTTTTCTTTTAGCCCTTTCCTCTGAATGTCATTATCTGTGATAGTAATTCAGCCATTTTTATAGCATTATTTCCCTGAATGTAATGTGTGCTTGAGATTTTGTTTTGTTTGGCTTTCTGAATTTCTTCCTTGCATTGAAGTTGTATAGTTTGTGTGTCCTGTGTGGTATCAGCAAATACTTAGATTTGCAAATTAATGTTTTCCACCAAATATGGTAATTTCAGTCATTATTTATTCAAATACTTTTTCTGTTATTTCTCTCCCTCCAGAACTCAATTACTCTTATGTTTCCTGAATGATATTGTTTTAAAACAAAATTAATTACTTGATGTTCTGACCTATCTCTATATATTTAGAAAGAGTAAATTTCTCACTACAACTCTCCAAAATGGTGTTTCTTGTCATTGTTAGGAATTGAATGACCTTCATGTAGAAGCACTTTCAGTGATAGCCAATTGCCTGGAAGACATGGACACCATGGTGCTGATGCAGCAGACAGGGGGGCTGAAAAAACTCCTCTCTTTTGCGGAAAACTCCACAATTCCTGAAATTCAGAAGAACGCAGCCAAAGCACTTACTAAAGCAGCTTACGATTGTATGTCTCATTTCGTATCATACACTTTTCCTCATCTAGTCTTAATTTTGATAAGTACTCACAAACACTAGATTATTTGCCTGCATTTGAATAATCATTTGAGAATAGCACAATATTCAGCGCTTAAAGCCAAAGCCAGTGAGGTAGGATGCAATATATGTAATGCCATTTAGTTATAATCCCATGGTTTTTTAAACAAGTCATTCCTAAATTAAATTTCTTAATTTCTTAATTTCTCCTGAATTTGAAATAGTATAGCATGCATGCGATCCTGAAAGAATTGTTTCAAGAAATCTATACTCAGAACATCTACAAGGTAGTTTCAGCTGGAGTCAGGTAGTACAGCCATGTTATACAGCTGTGAAAAATAATATGCTCATACTGTATACATAATACAGTTTTCATTTCAGTGACAAACTATTTTGACATAAATCTGTAAACTCTGAGAGACTGATTACAGCCCAAGTACTGAAGATGAAAATAATAGTTTTAATTTATGTATATTTGGAATATTTTGTTTAATAAAAGATGTGATTTTATTTTTCCCCTTCTGCATCACTACTCTTAGAAATGATGACAGCTTTGACTAGTTCAAGTGATTTATAGTCTAAACATATATACTCACATCTGCATGCATATCTGTATATATTGTGGGTAACATTTTTTTCAGCCCATACTGGAGTTCTTCAAGGTTAAGCTGTAATGCATTGAGCAGAATTCGCTGCCTAGTGGTAGTCAGCATAGAGAGGGTTCACAGGTTACACTATTGATGCCAAATCTGAAGACAGGCTGTGAAATTAAGGGTTCCAGGATGGGCAAAAGTTAGTTTATTCAGTATTGTGTCCAGTGAAACTTGGGCCTTATCATAGTTGGGCAGCCTGTTTTCTTTGTATTCCAGGATTCTTAGCTAACTGAGACCCAAAGAGAGGTATAATGGGAAGACAAGGACAACCACAAACTTAAACTTTTTGCATCTGTTGGCTTCTGGTGTGTCAGGGTCATTCTAGGTCTGTTCCACCTGCCTTGGGCTGGTGAGTTTCACATTAACCCATCATGTGACCAGTGTGGGAGGGGCACTGGACAGACAGTGCCCGGTGGTTTAGTTTCAGTACTGGCTCTACCACAGGCACTTCAAGATACTAGCCCCTTATCTAATATTTGATTAGCAAAAATTTTCTTTCATTCTGTGGTTTGCCTTTTCACTCTGTTGAGTGTATTCTTTGACGCACATTAGTTTTTCATTCTCTTGTGTGGCTATGCGTGAACTACAGCCTCTTCAGACCTGTTAACTAACTCAGTCATTAATGATTTGTTGAGCCCCCACTTCCTGACAGTAAACCCAGAACAGGCAATCACAAAGCAGAGTTGGAGGTGTTTGATGGTGGAAACACAGGATCACCTAGGAAGGCCATCGATGCCATGTTGGGTCAGAGAAGTCTTCTTGGAATAGAGGATTGACAAGCCAGGCCCTAGAGCACGTAATAGAAATTGGGTCAGCAAAGAAAGTCTCAGTAGGTTGAGGGAGGATCAGCGTTCATTAAGGAGGAGTAGTATTTAAAGACCAGAGGATGGGAAGTGGGGAAAGCTCCAGAACTGAAAGTCTTCAGCACTGCCAGTCAATAGAAAACTGAAAGTTGAGCCTGTGGGATAATGAAGAACCACATCTTAATGGGTATCACAAGCCAAGCGTTTAATGGAGAAGAAGAGTCATTGAGGAACCCGACGAGGGGAAGGAACATTGCCACTTTTCGCTTTATAAAGAAAGAGCACTCTTGCTGCAAAGTGGAGAGGAGAGTGGAAACATGTAGGGCCAGACACAGAAGACCAAGATGGGGGTTCCGTGGTAATTCAAGTGAGATGACATGAAGGTTCCCAGACAGCGGCTTGGCATGTAACCTTTGCCTAGCATGCATGAGGCCCTGGGTTTTACACACACGCACACGCACACGCACATACTCATCTAGAAGGTTCCCTGACAGAAAGACAAACACTCACATGTTCTCATTTGTATGAGAATGTACATAGAACACACACAGAGAATAGATCAGTGGTTACCTGAGCCGGAGAGGAGTATGGAAAGGGAGCGCGAGAGGGTGGTGGTAACTAGATAGGAGAAAGCACTTCTAATGATCCCTAGCACAGTAGGATAACCATAGTTAACAACAATTAATTGAATATTTCAAAGTAAATTAGAGAGCCTTTGAATGCTCCCGATACAAAAGAAATGATAAATGTCTGAACTGATAGATAAATCAGTTATCCTGATCTGATCATTACGCTTTGTACATATGTATTGAAAAGTCACATTGCACCCCATAAACACTTGCAAGCACTGTGCATCAGTCAAAATTTAAAAATTTCAAAAACATACCCCTTCCTCTTACTTTGACAAATGCATATGCTTAAAAACAAAAAAATCAAGAAACATGTAAATGGCTTTTATGTGATTAGAAGCTGGCAAAAATGTATTTATTTGCTTTACATATAAGACAAATGATAGAAAGAGAGAAAGAGAGAGAGAGAGAGAGAGAGAGAGAGAGAGAGAGATGATTGATATAGAGAGAAAGTTCCCTGAAACAGCTGTGGTGGTTGGCACAGGCTCAAGTCATTCTGCAAAGAGAGCCACCAGCACAGTCCTTGCCACATCAGGAGGAGTTCACAGCATTTGTGTCATGACCACCCTGGCTGAGGGATGAAGACAGCTGGGAATAAAATGGCACAACTCACAGAAATGGAAACTCAAGAGAAGGAGAAGATTTTGCATGAAAGAAAGGAAATGCATTCTTTTTTAAAATATAAAAACGTTTATAGTCTAAAATTTACCACGGTAACCATCTTTAAGAGTACAGTTCTATGGCATTAAACACATTGGCACTTTTGTGCTACCATCCACCCACAGAACTCTCTTCATCAGCAAAGCTAAAACAATAACTGTCCACTTCAGCTCCTGGCAAACACTGTTCTACTTTCTGTCTATGAATTTGGCTTCTTTAAGTACTTCATATTTGGACAGTTGGGGTTCTTTTACCTTTGGTTATTGTGAATAACATGAACATGGGTGAAAAAATCTCACTTTGAATCTCTGCTTTCAGTTTTTTAAGGTATCCATCTGGAAGTAAAATTGCTAAATCACATGGTAATTCTATTTTTAATATTTTGAGGAACTTCTATATTGTTTTCCACAACAGCTGCACTGTTTTTCATTCCCACCAGCAACGCCCAAGGGTTCCAATTTTCCCACATCTTGACCAACACTTGTTATTTTCTGATTAATGATAGTAACCATCCTACTGGCTATGAGGTGGTGTCTCAACATGGTTTGATTTGCATTGCTCTAACAATTAGCAAGGTTGAGTACCTTCTTCATCTGTTTATTGATCATTTATATATCCTCTGGAGAAAAGTTCATTCAAGTCCTTTGCTTATTTTAATTGGTTTGCTTAGTTTGATGTTGATTTGGAGTTCTTTATGTATTGTGGATACTAGCTCCTTATCTAATATTTGATTAGCAAAAATTTTCTTTCATTCTGTGGTTTCCTTTTTACTCTGTTGAGTATATTCTTTGATGTACATGAGTTTTTCATTTTGATGTAGCACATTCTATTTTTCCTTTTGTTGCCTGTGCTTTTGGCATTACATCCAAGAATCATTACCAAATCCAATGTTATGAGGCCTTTCTCCTACTAGAGGATTTTTCCACTTTTAGCTCTTACATTTAGGTCTTGATCTAATTTTTGTATACGGTATAATAGAAGCATCCAACCCAACTTCATGCTTTTGCATGTAGATATCAAATTTCCCTAGCATCGTTTGTTGAAATCCATTTTAAAAATTTGTAACACAAAGTAATTCAAGCAGATAGAGTTTCAGATCTTTTTGGCACTTCATGTCTTCTGACTCTACTTCCTTATGTTAGTTCTAAAATAACTACATTCCAGTTTCAAGTTGTGTCTTCTCAGTCTTTATTTTAGAATCTGATGACAAAATCTGTATCGACTTCATCTATGCCATTTGTCATTGTATTCCCTTTAATCATGATTCCTCTTGACTGAAGGATACTTACTGTTTACCCTTTCCTGGTATATCATGTCCTTAGTTTACTCTGTGATTATTCTCTTACCTCATCAATTCTCTTGTTTATAATACCCTCTTTGAAGTGTATTCATACATGTCATGGACAGTATTTTAAAGACAGGGACTATCATTTTGCATAATGGAATGATGGTTTTTTTTGTTGATTACTTTCAATTTCAGTCATGTGAAGCAAGCAATTTAGTCAGTCAGTTAACCATATCTGCATACTGGCCCAACCCCTTGAGGGAGTGACCTACTATGTGCCCAGGGCCTCTTTCTTACTCAGGAGCCAGAACTCAAAATCTTTCATTTTAAATTCTAATATTTTTGAGTTTAGTTTCAAAAATGCAAATTTCACTTTCAGACTAGTTTTGAATTTTCTCTGAAGCCTAGAATGTGGTCAATGTGCACAAGTGATCTTTCAAACCTACCGAGTCTTATAGAGCTATACTCTGGTTGTGAATACCAAGCATTTATTGTATGCCTGCTAATACGCAAGACATTGTTCCAGAAGCTAAGAAACAACTGTGAAAGTGAGAAATAAGTAAACGCTTGAACAAACAGCTATATCTCCTACAGAACATAGAGTTTGTTGTACAGTTTTCTCTTTGTTCTTATTTACTTTTTAATTTACTTGATCATCACAGATGAAGACTGTTTTGTTAAAAGTTTCCCACCAACCTCATTACTTTGTTGATTTTCTTTTGTAACTTTAAGTAACTGCTTTACTGGTAGTTTTATATCCAGTACAGATTGTTTTTTTAAAAAAAAATCTCACTTACTGCTTTTTTTTTTTTTTTTTTTGCTGGTAATGTTTATTCTGAGAACTCCTTCCCTAATAAATTCCTACTTGCTGAGGATGGAACCTCAAAAAGCTTGGTTGGAAAGATAAGGCTCCAGCTTAGTCCCAGACCAAGACAAAGGGG